TAATGAACTAGGATTAAAATTGCTTTTGTTTCTAATTGTATTCGTCGTTGAAATAAACAAATAAGCAACGAATACGAACTGTTTTAAAACAAAAACCTGTGTAACAATAATGCAAGCTATTTTTCTTTTTTTTTTATTATCAGTTTTACGTACTTTATTAGTTAAATTTGAGATTTTCTTAAATACGATCTGAAAAGTTGGAAAATAACAAATTGTGCATTATTTAATTGGATAATTTTATGGGTTTTTGTCTCAAAAACAAAACGTTTTGATACGAAGGTAAAATAGATAGTGAACTAGTTAAATTTGTTTAAAGGATATTGTGAAGGAATGAGATTGTTAAATTTATTCAAAATTGTAGGTCAAGAATTATTTAAATATATGGTTAATGATGATAATTGCATTGAAAGGTACAGGATCAAAAGCAATTTGCTAATTTAATTATTTTGACGTGTTATGAAACCTTAACAATATAAAAAGGAACAATTTTTCTATTTTATAATCAGTTACAGGTGTTTAAAGTTAACTTCCTCGTTTAATTAATAAAATGAATTGCGTAAAATAAAACTTAATTCACAATTAGATTTTACTAAATTGTAATTACAGGGGTTTGACCTTATCAGCACGTAAGTACATATTTATAAGTGTAGCCACTTGATAATCGTTTTCTGATAAAATTTAGCGTATCCCAAAGTGCATTTTTTCCGTGAATAAGTGCAAAATAAAATGAAAAAGGTAAGTGAAATGTATGTTCTTTAGCTTGGTAAAACAAAAGAATAAATTTCTTTTGTTTTATTGCTGTATTACAAATGTTGCCAGGTGTTTTTACATAAAACTCCAAATAACCAACACTAAATTTGTGTTAAGAAATGATTAAGAACACATAATCTTACGTAATTAAACCTGTATTAATTGGCTATGTTCTAATTAAAAAATATGTATTTTTGACTTTCTAAAACCATCGTTTTATTCTGACCAAGCTTTGCTTTAATTTCCTTTTCAAATTGCAATGGAAATAAAGTGATGATTAAAACAATTGCTAGACTTATTTTGTTTAGTATTAGTTGTCTACTTAATTAGTAGAGTTATGCCTTTGCAGCTTAACTACGTTCGCGAAGGCCGACTTAAAGTTGGAATAATTATCCGGAACGGAAACGAAAAAATGATCCCTGCGATCGTCCATTATATTCACCTTTTTATTGTTTGTTACACTTCTGTTGTATTATGTATTGGCTTATCTGCATTCGTGTAAAATATAATAATATTTTCCTTGAGCTTATTAAAATTTTTCGTAAAAAGTCTATCCATTCAAGGCAAAAATATTAACATTATGTATAATAGTAAAATTTTTGACGTTCAGCTGTTTACAACGACTGGAAGAAAGAAACAAAGGGTTGCCTTATATTAATCAGATCACTAGATTCAAGAATTGGGTTGAGTTCCTTTTGTTTTACAACTGTTTTCCTTTTGTTTTCAATTGTTCGCGCTCATATACCTAATGACAACGAAATACTTAATCGATTTTGTTTCGTTTCAAAACTTCCTGCGTTTTGTTTCTGATATGAAGTAAAAAAAAATGTAATTCAGGCTCTATTGTTAAGGAATTTTTATTATTGACAACATGCTAATAATAGCAAAACTTTTATTAGGAAGTCTTTCGTTTGTCATTAAATATATTTTACAATCGAAACAACAGGAAGACATTGGCAACAAATATTTTTTAACCACTGTCATCACATACAAATTTCCTAATCACTGTAGAATTGTTAGTATTTTTAACAAACGGATGAGTCAGTTGTTTTACAAATTGATCTAAATTATTAAGTAATTTTTGAACCAGTAGTCAACAAATAATAATTATTATTATTCGTAATTACCTATAAGTAGAATGAAAAAAACTGTGAAACGTTAAAAGTTGCTAATTCATTATTTATGAACTATATGCGATTCGAAAACTAAGTTTACTAAAAATACCTCTCGAGTCCTCGAATAAGACTTGGCTCGTATGGCATAGTAATAAACTTGGTTTTGACGGTTTTTATTTGAAAAGTTACCAGACTCTACTTCGTCGTGTTTTGGCATTGGGGTTTTGAGGTTTGTGGGAATTTTACGAGTCTTGGTCTTCTCCTGATCTTGATCTTGGTTTTGCTTGGTTTATAGTTCTCATCTTGGTCATGTGAGCACAGCTAAATTGTGGTCTCAATCTTGGTCATACTCATTTATAGGTTTGGTTTTGATGGTGCATGCACAGCTAAATCTTGGTCTTCATGTTGGTCTTATTAATTTATTCTTTTGGTCTTGATCGTACAAGTACAGCTAAAACTTGGTCTTAATCTTGGTCTTACTAATTTACAGTTTTGGTTTTGGCCGTGTGAGCACAGCTAAATGTTGGTCTTAATCTTGGTCTTACGCATTTGTTAAGTCTTGGTCTTGATCATGACTTTGTTAGATGTTCAAAACCAAGACAAGACCAAAACAATTTTTGTCCATTACTATTCATTACGTACTATTCAAATTTTGTTTGGCATGCCTAAAAGTGAACGTAAATTTTTGGCGATCTCTCTCTCACGTTAGAAAATATTGTGGAAGTAATCGAAAGTGACAAGTTGCGAACTTGTAAAAGTTTTCCTTGTGATTTGCAAGAACGAGGTCCTTTTCGAAGCCAAACGTTTGTACTCTCTAAGTTTAGAATGAAAACTGTTTTAAGGAAATGTAAAGGTCGCACGTAAACATAAATTTTTTTGCTTACCTACACGTAGGTATCTTTAACAGATCTATTCGGTAGACCTATCAATCTCTTTATAGCCTTTGGGGATGTTCGCGTTATTCCTAACATATAATAACATAATGGTAGATTTATACCAACAACCAACAAATCCTTGGATAACTGGAGCAATTATTTGTCGTTTATTCGAAAATACCTTCGATTCATTAAATTGCATTGTTGCTTGCAATTGTTTTAACGTTTGTCTTTTGTTCGATAACAATTAGATTGCTTTTAAAATATCATTTGCAGTACGTACGGCCATTAAAACAGAACACCAGTCGGAAGTATATCAAAGCACTTTTTCTTTTGTTTGTTTCTTGTAACTAATTAAAGTTGACTTCAAAAGTATGTAAATTTATTTAAAAGTGAAAACATGTCAGTATCAGTGGGACGTGGCAATTGAATACTATCAATTATTATTTAAATATTTATTATTGATATTTAATATTGAAGGGGATGATGACATTCCAAAACTGTTTGGCATCTAATTTATTTTCAATTTTCAAAAAACTACCCAACACGAAGAAAAATTTAAAATTTTCTTTTATTGATAAAAAGATCGCATGCCTATTGTTTTTGGTATATGACTATTTCTGCTTTATTTCTTTAATTCGTTCTAATGTGGTTTTAGTAATTATTTACACGGTTTTTGGCTAATTAAGGGAGAAACCGGACATTACAGGCAATCTGTACTGTAATTGATTAGGAGTTTACCAAAACTACTACTTGTTATCATAAAGTTGCTTTATTTTTGCTAAAATTGTTTGGACAATAATAAGCTTGTTAATTAATTATCAAACAAATTGTAAGACCTCGTTACAGATTAATTAAAAATTACAGTAATAAACTTATCGAAAACAAGACAGTTTGATACATGGCACTTGGCATATTCCATACAGCAAATCTTCTGACCTTAAACTATCATTACTCCTAGTTGTTATTATTTGGAGCGACATGCGTGAAATGCATCGATTATACCAACTTTTATTATTATGACTATAAAATAGCGCTAGAAAATCTTAAGGTTGCACTAAAGACTAAACGATAGAATTAATATGAAGGTGAAGGTCAAAAAATAATAAATTCAGAACGATATTTGCACCTAAACGTGATATATTTACGGCAATTAGAACATTAGACTCTGTTTTGTTTTCTGATATACTTGCTTTTTGTTTTTTCGATTGTTTATCCGTTAAATTTATAGCAATTAGATTCACTTGTTCTTTTAATATCGTCTTTTTTTTATCGTTATCATTTTTTGTTTTTCTATTTTGTTTCGTAATTTTTCATTTTTTTTATCGTCACATTGTATGACAATTGATGATTGTGTTAGGTTTCAAATTTTTTGTTTTGCAATTTATTTTGTTTTCGATACGAAGGCTGAGTGAAGCGATAGTCATCTTTACATTTAAAGTATCTTTTGAAATAGTAGCATTTCTCAAAACGTTTTCACCTTCGGTGACGTCAGGGTAACAGGCACATGTAGAAGATCTGAATTTTTGTAATCGTGTGATTCTACGATGTTTGGCCTTAGTGGAATAAAGCACTCGCAGTGAGATCAAACTAAAATTCGTCTCCCAGTCGAGGCCAATTATGGAAAACGTCGGGAAAAAATTAACCGATGATACGCTACCTGTCTTTGACGCATAGACAGACATTGCTTCATTGGCAAAAGATTAACGTCCATTACTTGCGCTTTATAATCAGCTATTAATTATATTATTGGAAGGTTACTATCTATACTAAAAAAAAAATCAGTGTTGCAAAACCCGTGTGTTTATTAAAAATAAATTAACGTTTAAGTATGTATACTTAGTTGTAATTAAAATTTAACGACACCGAAATTACTCTTTAGAATTGACTTGCTATAATATTTCTACAAACTAATCAAAATATTTTGTCAAAATACATAGAACATTTTTAGGAAATATACTAAGCATTTATGGAGTACTTAATAGTACTACTGTCTCACTACACACTAGCATCATCAATTAGCATTAGTTTTAGACAAATGTACTATATTCGATTAAATTTCTTAAAATTTTTGTGTTTTTGACAACCCCATACGTTAAAACTGATATCAGAAGTGACTTGTTTGGTATGAAACAAAACGACGGACGCCGACGTCCTACGGCGACGCCGAAAGTGAATTTCCTCGGCGTGAGCCGTCGTCATAGACGTAGCCGTGGGCCACGGTCCGCGACCTCGGCTGTCGAGGCTGCACTTGGGTATATATAATGGTATTTGCCGCCCTGCTCGCTAGTATTTCACTCCTGCTACAATTCACGCGGCCCGCACGACGACGTTTCGCTGCACTCTATGTTCCTCTTCCTCTTCTTCTAACCATAAGCACTATTACTTCCTCCACCTCTTCGAAGACGTCGTCCACCACTGGTGTTAGTTGCCGTGTCTCACGTCCGTCCGATACCATCATCTTGCAATTCGGTCCTCAACTTGATGTCCATCATGCACATAGTAAGTGACTTTCTCTGCGTAAGTGCGCTGTTGTGATTGTCGGGGTTGGTCGTCCTGGAGGACGCGGATGTCCTCCGGTCGATAACCACCAGGAGTGCAGTGCAAGTTAAAATGGGGTTTGATTGCCAATAGAAATCTGGAATTTTAATGTTTTGTGATCTTACCTTTGAAATTAATTAATGTAGTAGTTGACGACAATTGATAGGCAAGTTTGTTTTTTTGAATGTAATTTTTAATACTTACCGTGAAACTTCTTTTTTTTAAATGATAAACATAAGTTTAGTAAACTATTCAAAAAATTTCAAAATTACAATTTATAAAGATTCCAAATTCCTATATTATAAAATTGTTTCAAATACTTTCCAATTTTAGTTTATTATTGATTTAAAACTACACTTGAAAGTCTTTAAAAGATTCTAAAATTCTTCTATGGGTAAATATTAATTTATGCGTTTCAGTCTGAGTTAATTTCTGAAGTGTTTAGAAAATATATTATGCATGGTATGAACCCGCATAAATAGTGCTTTATTTTAGTTTATTAAAAACTTCGATTTACTTTTCGTAAACTATTTTTTATGACAATATCCAATCAAAACAGTTTTCAGCAAAGTAGAAAACGAAAGAAGATTACAAAATTTATTTATTTTCTGCATAGAATGTGATTTGCATAACAATATTATCGGTGAATTAATTTATTGTATGTTAAATTGAGTTGTTCGCAAATTACAATAGAAAAACCTGTCAGCTTTCACGAAACAATCAATCCATAAACGTTTTCTGTCAGAGACGTTCTTTCTCTGTTTCTGATAGGTAGCACTAATATAAGTCGATCATGTCAATTTGGTAGCCGTAACATTAGATTTACAAATTTGAAAGCGCCAGTTTCTAAAAGATAACAATCGCTTTGTGTGGTGTTTTAACCGTAACACGACTCCTCCTATTCCATACGTATGTAATAATTAATTGATACACATGTATATATGTACATATCTGTAGGGTGTTACAGGCGGCAAACAAAAATGAAAGTAAAATTGTAAGAAGCATTCCAAAAATTCGCCGAACGGTAGACAATTATGCGTAGACACAAAAAAAAAACGCTAATCACTTTTTTTTTTCGTTGTAGATCAAAATCAATAACGAAATTAACAATGTAATTGCTGTTGAAACGATTATTTCCTTAGAAAGGAAACACGTGTTTACGTATCAGCTACTTAATTAATTAATTGTAGTAATTGATAAACAACGAATATTATGCATCACTATTGATATCGCTTATGTACTATATCCCTGGATTTGGGCAGGTTGCATTGGGACACCGAATGCAGCCTGTCGGCGCCATCGGGAAACTCTAATCGTTCCTCAAGGTATTTTCTCACTTCCGTCCTGGTGAACGAGAATTGTAGGGTGTCAACTACGTCTCCTACCATTTCTAATTCGACACACAGAGGACATGGACTTGTTGAAGTGTAATCGTCCACCTGGACGTTCTCGAATAGTGACTTTTCTGCCTTAATAATCGTCCCTTGTGCTTTCCTAACGTCTGCGGACTGTTGCTTGTAAAATGCAGCCAGTATGTATTTACGAAATTGCTGTTCAACCGCTTCCAAGTACAAAATCACGTTATACTTATTCGGGGTGGAGTTATCTGACAGTAAACTGAGAAAAGGGGTGTCGTCACACTCAGCTTTCTCAAACAGGTTCCGTATCGCTTCAAAGATTTGACGCAGTTTTCCGTCTTGTTCTCTTGTCTTCGTTTCAGCGGCGTCTGCTTCTTCGATGGATTTCTTAAGTCTTTCCTCTAGATTTGCTAGTAATTGTTCGTGATTTTTGGATATATTTTTGTGCTTTGCCTGGAGTTGTTCGATATTTGTTTGTGTTTCTCGAAGGGCATTGCCCGTTTCTTCAATTTCATCGTTCAGACGTACGATAAGATTGAATTTAGAGAAGTTTGCGATGTCCTCTTTGAGAAATCCCTGCATGACGACAGGCAGTTCTTTTGCATGTGTTAATTCTGTTATTGCGTCCAGTACGTGTTCGTATGCAGTGCGTTTGATTTGGAGAGCTATTGTGTGGGCTCGTTTAGTCTTTTGGGCTGTTTGTTTCAGGTCGTCCGTGTGCCTCTTGATTTGTTTGGTTCTTATGAAATTTGAAAGTTTACACCGATGATCCAAATTGCGCTCCAATGCAGACTGGGAATCCACGTCCCTGTTGAAGTCACTGTAAGCCCTTGAACGTAAAAACTTCAGTTTTTGTATGCATTCGTCTCTGGCGTTGTATGTGACAGTGCATTGTTGAAAGAGATCCATCAACACCTTTTTACCTTTATACAGTTTACTGATCATTTTTTCCCATGATGTGTTGAAGCGATTCCGTTCGTTTATCAAATCGATTATTTCTTCCCTCAGTTTTTGATTTTCTCCTGTTATTGCCCCTAATTTCTCGTTTTGGGTTTCTAGTTTTTTCTCAAGACGTTCGATTTGGTAGTTACTCTGCTGAATCTTCTTCTGATGCTTCAAATCAGTAACTCGGCTGGCCCTTAACTTTTTTATATTTTTCTCTGTCATTCTAATTTGCTGTTCTAGTCCGCTGTTGTTACTTCTTGCCTGTTTTATTTTCTCGTCCAGTTTGTTGCTCTCTCTCATCAGTTTTTTGATTTTTAACGCGTTTTCAATATCCTGCTCCCTTTTCGGGTCGCACGTTGCGACCGCGAGATCCAAGTTTACGGTTTTGTGTTCCTTTTTGAATATCTTGATCACCTTTTTCATTTTGGCCAAATTCCTGTCGGTTCCTTTGAGCAGCGCCCAATGTTCCTTGTCACAAATTTTGTATTCCCTCCTCAAACGATTCAGGTCTTTCTCGTTATCCAGTTCAACCTCCAACATTTCGTCATCGTCATATTCCCCCCGTTTCCCACAGGCCAACATTCTTTTGTAAATACTCATTTTAAATTTTTGTTATTATATATATCGGAACTCCCCACAAACCTCTAAAATTCCCACCCCTTTTTTAAGAAATTCCAACCCTTCACATTGACATTACCACTACTCAATATTACAGACAAATGACGTACTTCCTTGACGTCAAACTATTGGCAGTATCTTATCTATAGAAATCCAAATTCATCTTTTCAAACGGTTTAATATTAAGGCATAAAATGGCCACAATAACAACTTAATAAACTCTTAAATTCACTGGTATCGTTTCTGGACTATTTCTCTTGACTTGGGTAGATTGCAGTTCGATACAGAATGCAACCTGTCCATGCCATCTGGTAACTGCAACCGTTGTTCTAAAAATTGTGCGACCTCCTCCTTCGTCTGGGCGAATTGTAGGATGTCGATAACGTCGCTGACCATTTCTTGTTCGACGCACAGTGGACAGGGGTTCTCATCGACAATTTCGGACAGATCTAAAGGCGGTGGATAATGCTTATCGGGTTGAATGACCCATCCGTCCGCCCCATGATGTCTCTTCTCCATCTTTTGTTTGAAGATAGCCTGCAGGACCATTTCGTACAATTTTGCCTGGATCGCCTCGAGATGCAGCAGGACGTTGTAGCCATTGATGGACGAGTTTTCGCCCAGCAGCGCCAAAAAGGGCGAATTGTCGCATTTACACATACCAAATAATCTGGCGATGCCGTTGAAGATTTCGCCGAGACATCCGTCTTTCCTTTGTATCTCTTCCATTTGCTGAGCGATTTCTTCCTCCAGCTGTTCCGCAGTAGACGCCAGTTTTTCGAATTTGCTTTTTTGTAACTCGGCCATGCTGTCGCGAATCTGCTGGCGCTTCTCTATCTCCGTCGATAGGGTCGTCAGTGTCTTGCCGATCTCTTCAATTTCGATATTCATGTGAGAGATGAGAGTGAATTGCGAATCGTTTATGGTCTGTTGTTTCGCGAAGCAGACCGTTATCGAATTGATGTCAGTCTGTCCTGTGAGGTCCTGGATGTCCGAAATAATTGTGGAATATAAAGACCTCTGTATCGTCATCTTTCCAAATTTTTCCCGCTTCTTGCTCGCTGCTATTTGTTCCAAGTCTAACATTCTTCGCATTTGTTGTTTCGTTTCGATGAAATTGGAGAGTTTGTTGTTGTCGTCCAACAGATACTGCAGCTTGGTCATCTCCTCGCGATTAATTTGAAGATCATTGTAAACCTTATGCCGCAGCGCGTCCAAACTTGCTACCCATTCGCCTCTCTTGTCGTATGCCACGGTTGCCTGTTGAAACAGATCCAGCAGGCATTTTTTCCTTCTAAACATGCTCATTATCTGATGCTCCCATTTGATGTTAAAAGAGGCTCTCTCGTTCAGAAGGTGATCTATTTGTTCTCTGAGTTTCAGATTTTCTGCAGTTATTACACCAATCTTCTTTTGTTGACAATCTAACCGATTTTCCAGCTTTTCCACTGTCCTCAAGCTCTCCATGTTCTTTTGTTGGAACAAAAAATCGGTCAACCGACTATTACGAAGTCGCTGAACGTCTCTACCGATCCTACGTATTTGATCTTCGGTCTCGCGGATGTCTGTGAGACGCTGTTTGATTTTTCCGTGGAGTATTTTGTTTTCTTGGACCATGGTTTTTATTGTCTTTTCGATTTCGCGATCTCCCCGCACTTTGGAAGTGGACATGGCAATATCCAGATCGGACGACACGTTCATTTTTTCTTTCTTGAGAATATTTAAAACTCCCTTAAACTTTATCATTTTGGGATCGGTTCCCATGAGCAGGTTCCAATGGTCCCTGTTCATAAGCGTGTATTCCCTTTTGATGGCGGACAATTCCTTTTCTTCGTCCAGCTCCATTTCCAGGATTTCCTCCGGCGTGAACACCGTCCTGTGTTTGCATATCATCTCGTAATTGGCCATATTATAAATATCAGCTTCACAAAACTTACAAAAAAAAAGTACAAAAAAAAATGGGCAGTGTTTCAAAATGACGTTTACATTCAAAGTATAAAATAAAATCGCAGATTTCTTGATATCGTTGTACCCAAATTCCTGATACTTTGGCCACCATGTGAAACATATATACACAATTCAGACATCTTTCCGAAGTGAGTTAGTTTAATATGAAATATTATTCTGAAAATTCATTTTTGAATTTTATGCTTACTACACGCTACCTCCAAATTAATGAGGGAAAAATTGTTGCTGTTGTAACACCCCCGCCGGGAATCGAACCCGGGACCTTTGACTTTACGCACCAATGTTCTACCACTAAACTACGAGAGATGACAACAACAGAACAGAAAAAATGATTTCAAATTAATATTGCATATTAATCCACTATTAAGTAACTAACAATATCATAGGATTTCGTATATTTAATCGATATATAATTAAGTTAATAAAAACTGACGGATCGTTAACCTTGTAGGTCAGTTTGTCGTTGTTGCTGTTGTCACCTTTCGTAGTTTAGTGGTAGAACATTGGTGCGTAAAGCCAAAGGTCCCGGGTTCGATTCCCGGCGGGGGCGTGACAACAGCAACAATTTTTTCCTCATTAATTTGAGGTAGCGTGTACTGGGCAAAAAATTCAAAAATGAATTTTCAGAATAATATTTCACGGAAATAACTTTTTTGTTTTTATTTGTTTATTATCAACAAAAACGTTTCTAACAATTGGAAAAACGACTATACGTAAATAATTATAAAGCAACATGTAATTGTATAAAACCTAAGCATATGTACAAAATGATGACCCGTATTATTGATACCGTTTTTGTATGATCTCTCTGGATTTCGGGAGGTGACAGAACGAGACGGAATGTAAACTAAAAGCTCCATCGGGCAAGGCTAATCTATCAGACAAGTGAAGAGCGGCTTCCTCTTTCGTACGAGCAAACTGCAAGGTGTCAATAACATCACTGACCATTTCCTGCTCCACACATAGGGGACACGGATTCTTATCGACATACTCGTCAACATCAAGGGGCGGCGCATAGAATTTGTCCGTTTCTATGATCTTCGTTGGTGGCGCGTTCTTTTTCTTTTCAGTTTTCTGCTTGAACAACGCCGTCAAAACGACATCGTATATTTTGCTCTGGACCGCGTCCAAATACAACAGGACGTTGTACCGGTTGATGGTTTCGTTGTCGCCGAGGAGTTCCATGAACGGCGTCTTGCTGCATTTGATATTCGTGAAGACCCGGTCGACGGCCGCGAAAATGGTATCGAGATTTTGAGTTTTCTCCGCGAGTTCGGCCTCGGCTTCGTCCGCTTCTTGTGTCGCCTCTTCAAGTTTAAGCGTCAGCTCTTCGATCTTCTGCTCCTGCAGTTCGGCCCTGCGTTGATTGACTAACTGCTTCTCCTCGATTTCTGCTACCAATTCCTGTAAGCTCATGCCTATGTTGTCGATGTCCGCGTTTATGTGAGTGACCAGTAGGAAATTGGAATCGTTCTCGGCCTCTTGTTTCAGGAAAACGGCTCTCATCTGGTTCGTGTCCGTTTCTTGAGTCGCCGATTGTATTTCTGAAACTATTGCCATATACTGTTCGCACTTCTCCTGGTCCCGCAGTCGTTCCAAGCGCTTCCGTCTACGTGTTATTGCTTCTAGATCTTTCATGCATCTGATCTGCTGCTTCGTTTCGATGAAATCGGATAACTTTTCGTTATGATCCAGGAAGTGCTGGAGTTTGTTCATTTCCTCGCGGTCCATCACCAAGTCCTTATATACTTTTGATCGTAGCGCGTCCAGGGTGGCGACCCATTCGTCCCTCTTGTTATAGGCTACGGTCGCCTGTTGCAGAAGATCTAGGAGGCATTTTTTTCTCTTGTACATCCCGCCTACCTGTCGCTCCCACAGGACGTTGAAGAAGGTACGTTCGATTAGGAGGTGGTCGATTTCTTCTCTCAGTTTCCTGTTGTCGGAAGTAATTGTGCCGAATTTCTTCACTTGCATGTCTAGTCTGTTTTCCAGTTTTTCAACGGTCCTTTGACCTTCGATGTTCTTCTGCTGATACTGATCGTCCGTCAGTTGGGATATGCGAAGTTTCTGCAGTTCCCGATTGATTCTTCGTATTTGGTCTTCTGTCTCGCGAATATCGACAAGTTTGCGTTTTATTTGGTCTCGGAGAATCGTGTTCTCGTGTAACATCTCCTTCATCTGCGCCTGTACCTCCAGATCTTGAGCTACTTTAGCTTTAGACGTTGCAATCGTGTGATCGTTCGACACGTTCCTGCATTCTTTCTTCAGTATTTTGAGTACACTTTTGAACTTTACCATTTCGGCGTCGGAACCCAGAAGGAGGTTCCAATGGTCCCTGTTCATAAGCGTGTACTCCCTCTTGATGCCGGACAGTTCCTTTTCCTGTTCCAGCTCCATTTCCAGGATCTCCTCCGGCGTGAACACCGTCCTGTGCTTGCATATCATCTCGTAATTGGCCATCGTGAAAAAATAGTTTACAAAATGTCCAACGGTACAAAACTTGCAAAAGAATTATAAAAAACCTTGTGTCATATACCTGACATAAAATAATAATGGTAACCGTCGACTTCTTCGATCTATGTATTGGGATCCGTCGAATGGGTGGAGCCTAAAAACATGGCGCCGATTAGGGAAAATTTATCGTAGTTCCTATAGTGTACCGTGCAATTTCCAAGTTTTTAAATTACGATAAAATGATAAGTATTGACACAATATGTGATTGGGCTGACACAAAGCCTCGGAAAGGAAATTTCGTTGAAGGTGAGCGTGTTTTTAATGCCAATCACATTATAAAATTCGGAAATAACAAATCCGGAAGCTAACCTTCAAATTCCGTCAAGTTTACTGCTTACTTTTTACAAACTTCGGATTTAAAAAGTGATTCACGTTATATAATTGGTGAGGTGATTCTCTGGATGATTTAAGCAATATCATATCAATGACTTGCACGTGCAAAGCCGATTTAAGAGAACGTTGCAAACACATTATTGCAACTTTGTTGTATTGCAGCAGGTAGGTTCTTAACCTCAAAATACTTATATCGTATCATTAGAATTGTGTTAAATCAATTACACAGGAATAAATAATTTCTCACTTTATAATTTTAGTATGATTCTAGTTTTAAATATTAAGGTTACGGCTGATGGTAAATACTTGCTGAAATATAATCATGTGCATTAAAATGACGTGAACAAAATTTTATTCCGGAATTCGCTTCTTTGATACCTACTGTTTTCATCCAAGCTTCTATTAGTTTACTTTTTTCTCTAATTTTCCGAATATATTTCTTACATATATAAAACGGTTAGTTTTTATTGGAAAGTAGTAAATGTAGGTGAAGAGTGAAGATCTACGTCTGAAGTGCTATTGCAGCTTTTCACTGAACATATTAACTTTTTATTTGATTTAACTTCAGAAGAAAACTTCGTCGACTCCATCAGCAAAAAAATTTTTACTTTTTTAACGTGTTTTACTATTTTAATAAACAATTTCACAATTTGCGTGCACAGTTCCTATGTAAACTTTTCCCTCATTCGAGTTATAAATTTTGCCACCAGATGGTGTATACCCATTTGACGGATCCCAATAATATATTTATTGATTGCTGATATGCGTAAGTACATTTTAAACAAATAGGGCTTAAAATAAAAGTAAATAAAAAAGTAGCATACATAAAACCTATACATACAAAAGTTAAAATAAGTACCGTAATCACTGGTATCGTTTCTGAATAATTTCTCTAGACTTCGGAAGATGACACAGTGATACGGAATGTAGACGATCCAAGCCGTCCGGTAAGGCGAGTCTTTCGACCAAAAACGTTTTCACCTCTTCCTTTGTAAAAGCAAACTGTAAAATGTCGATGACGTCGCTGACCATTTCTTGTTCGACGCACAGTGGACAAGGATTGTGACCAACATACGTTTCGACGTCCTGTGGCAACGGGAAGAATTTATCTTCCTTAATGACCAGCGCGACCCGTTTCGCATCCTGACCTTTTCGTTTCGTTGTCTTTTGTTTGTACAACGCGATAGCCATAATGTCGCAGATCTGTTCTTGCAACGTCTGCAGATACAGGAGCACGTTGTACTTGTGGATGTAGGTGTTGTCTCCCAGGAGAGCCAAGAACGGACCGCTGTCGCATTTGGTCTGGGCGAAGAGTTTTGCGATTGCATCGTAAATGCTTTGCAGTTTTTCTCCCATTTCATCCTGGGTAGCCGCGGCATCGTCTGCTTCTTGGGTTTTCGTTTCCAGTGTCTCCTCGAGCAGCGCCAATGTTGCTGGTTGACTTTCCTGCCGAGAAGCCCAGATCTGCTGATGCTCCTCAATGCTCTTTACCAAATCTTTCAGCTCACTTGATATTACTTCTATTTGGTCGTTGATGGCCAATATTAGTACGAGTTTCCTGAGTATTTCGTTTTCATCCCACTGGCTCATGCTGCAAATTTCTGCTACCTCGGGAGTGTTGAAATGGGTTTGTATTTCGGACAAAATCCCGATGTACAATTCCGACGTTTGTTCCATTTCCATTCGCATTTTTTCCCTCTTCAACCTGACTATCCTTTCGAGTCCTCTCATCACCCTGATTTGTTCCTTCGTCTCCATGAATCGGGACAGTTTCGTCTGGTGGTCGTGGACTCTCTCCAGTTCGCGCATTTCCACGCCATCTTTGACATAATCGACGTAGCATTTTTGTCGCAGGGCGTTCAGCGTCTGGACGCACTCGTCCCTTTGATTGTACGTCACCGTGGACTGCTCTACCAGATCCATGAATATTTTCTTGCCTTTGGCCACGTGACGGATAGCTCTTTCCCACAGGGTGTTAAAAGTGTTGCGCTCTTTCAGCAAGTGGTCAATTTCTTCCCTCAGGATTCGGTTTTGCCGCATGATGTTGCCGAACTTCTTAACTTGGATGTCCAGTTTGTTCTCTAAACCTTCAACGGTCCTTTGACCTTCGATGTTTTTCTTACTGTATTGCTCGTCGGTCAGTTGTTCCGTTCTCAACTTGATTACCGTCTTTTGGATTCTTCTTATTGTATCCTCGACTTCTCTAATTTCGGTTTTCTTCTTTTTGATTTCTGAATCCAGCTGACTGTTCTCCTTTACCATTTCCGCAATGGTGTCGAAGTTGTCGCTGTCCTGTTTCACCTTGTAGAAGGATGTGGCTATTGCTAAATCGGTACCAACATTCTTTTGTTCCTTCTTCAGGATTTTCAGGACTCTTTTTGTCTTGGTCGATTCAGCGTCGGTTCCCTTCAGAAGCGTCCAATAGTCTCTGTTTAACAGCCCATAGTTCCTTTGAATTCCTTTTAGCTCCGCTTCTTCTTGCAACTTTATTTGTAGTATCTCTTCGTCGGTCAGTTCCTTCCTGTGTTTACATATCAACTCGTAAGTCGCTTTCGCCATTTCTATCAATTATAAAACTCAATATTCAAAAACTAAAGACCAAGTCAATAATAAACATGTAAATATAATAAATGACATTACACTTGTCATATACCATATGATAGGTGAATTCTATGATTTAAAAATTAAAGAATATCGTTATTATTGCACGTTCTAGTTGCTTAATATTGATCGAGAACAAAAACCAACCTCTGGTGTGTAGAGCATGTAAATGTGTTTTGCATGTATCTGTTGGTGGCTCCACTTGGGCAGTGCATGTACAGTTGTTAATGTTTAAACAAAAAGAATGATTGTTATTTAACAAACGGAGAAAGTAAAAAGCAACGAAGCGCGGAGTCAAAATTTCAGATGAATATATTTTGTTAATTGTAAAAATGCAATACATACATTCGCATTGGTCAATTTGAATTTGCAGACGCAAACGTTTTACTTGTCCTAGTAATTAAATTTACTTTTAAATTAGCACACAGCATTTAACAGTTTCGTAAATAACTACGTGCTTTGTTTTGCGATTTGCGTTTAGGTATAATTTGTTGTTTCGCTAAAACAGGCATCTAAATAATTACTGATAACAAAAAATAAATAGGATAAAAACGAAAACGGCACTTGAAGGTTCAAATTATGCCTATATCCACACGGCTAATAAAAGGTAAAAGGCCCATTACCATTACCGACCATTAGATATCTCCCAACGAACCAGCGTAGCGTCCGTGTGTGGTGATTTTTTTAACGCGAACTTCCGCGTCATTCATTTTGTCTGTGCTCAGCGACCATGTCTTTTGAATGTATACGTATATCAGGATTGAGTTACGTAAAATGGAGTGATTTGTTTTATTTTCGACAGTAGTCACATTTTGGTCCAGCTGATATTTGAAAGTAGTATCTTTTCTTTAGCCGATTTTTTTTAGCTTAAAGGTTATTTATGGTTTGCTAAAGTTCTTTACGTAAAATGTATCAATTTTGCAACGAATTCATAACTGCACTTGCGATGAGGCCCTACGTACTAGTCGGATTTCCAATAAATAAATTTTTTAACAATAATAACGCAGTTTACAACGATAAAGGAATTTTAAGTGCTGATTCGTCTCCGAAAAAATTGTAAAGTCTTGGATTATAATTTGCCATACGACTCGGATAACACAGGTCTGCGATAAAAAAGTTTTTTGTATAAATTTATCTTAAGGATGCAAATGTTGGTCTATATTTTGCAAATATAAACTTTGTTTTAACGTATCACGTCACATTTTTTTTGTATGTAGATTAATATATGTATATGTATATAGCTCTATGAATACGCAAATTTATTATTTTTTTTTTACAAAATTCATTTTATAGCTTATATCTCTATTTAATACTCTCTGACTGAGCATTATATTGTCTTTTACTTTATTTTAGATAGTCTGAAAGCAACTATAGTCGTTTACACCGCCTGAAAAAAAAAATAGTTTATAGCGCGCCATATTGAGAGAGATATAATATTAACAATAATAATAAGAACAATTCAAATGTATTTTTTTACATTTGCCGACAATATACAACAGTTAAGCAAAGATTGAATTTAACAGACTTTGTAAAAAATCCTTATTAAGCTTACTTCAGGATGAAGTTGTAACCAAGATAAACACTGGGTTAAGATAAAATATGCCGGTTATGTGTTGAGGTGTTAATACAGTGGACTTATGGTAAATTAAAATCATTGTTATTCGGTATTTCTATGTCCAAATTAGAATGCAATTGGAAGTCGGAGTGAAAAATGTCATCAATACGAGTTTGAAAGAAGAAAGTATTGCTTCCACCACTTTACATTAAACTTGGTTTGATCAAACAGTTTGTAAAGGCATTTCGACTTGACCAACGGTGATTATTTCATGTTTAGATATCGAGGTCATGATTTATATAGGTTTTAAGCATATAAAAAAATCGTAAGGACACAAAAAATTACTTTTTAAGAAAAAAGTCAATTCAAAAATCGCGTTTTTTGTTTATTTTCGATCTTTCCATGCTTTAATATTGCCGGAGGTATTTTTAACCAACACCATCATAAAGAGCATCGTTAAAAACATAGTAACACTGGTTATCGAATATTTTTTCGTCGCACTCATTACGTGGCAAGGGTTCAAATGGAAATGTGTTCTCTGAGCATTTATGGGTTAATGTGACGTGGTATACACCATATGAATATCGTTTTCTATTACTTTTAAGACAATTACGACAAATATTAACAATTTAAGAAAAAACCTTTTCAAAAAAAAAATTTCGCAGACCTGTGTAATCATTGCAATATACGTATAATACATTTCATTTGTTTAAGAACCGTGACCGCCTGGCTAAATTACTGCAGCTATATATTCAAGCATTTACATTTTATAGATAGAGAGAGACAGAGATTAATATCTGTACTACTATAAGGATTTAGGAGAGTGCTGCAGGATATTTAAATACTGTGAAGCAGAAAAGTGAAAGAAACTTATGTTATTTTGGCAGTTCGTTCAAATTTCGCAATCGTGTGCTTTTCGACTAAAATATTGTGTAATTTTTGTTTCTTAATGATATTTGCAAAATTAGATACCAACGCCTTTCTATTACTGTCACCAGAACCATTTTTAATTTTAATGTAAATTTTTAAATGCTACAAATGTCATACAGCATGTAAACTGTTACAGATAACTATAAATCCAATCTATACTATATAGTTGTTGTTAAACAACTTGTTACATTATCGATTATCAACTCGTTTTCGAATAACTAATTCATTCCGAGGAGAAGATACAAAAGGGACAGTATCTATACCTATAGTTAACATTAAATTAAATTATATCAGACATTTAGTAACAGGCTAACAGTAGGTAAAGGCATTACAATATTTAATATACTCGTACCTATACAAATCCATTTTTTGTTTAGGGAATGTAACGTGTTGCAAATTTAATTATCCATAGAAAGGACAATATATCAGAACGTTACATTTTTTCGGAGTTTAGTTTTACATGCCTCTAAATTTTTACTTTCAAAATAATGTCTATAATGTGACTGGCTGCATACACCTTCTAAAAATAGCTGACCGATTCTATTATTGTTATAGTAATAGCTGTTAATATTTTTATGATTTTTGTGTCATAAATGTTAAGTATCTAATATTATGTATTATACACAATATGACTGTGACTAGGAGTTGTGCTGTTGTTACAAAACTCTAAAATCGCTGGATGAATTTTCATCGGCTTTCTCTGTCTCATGTAAAGTATTATTATCATTTAATGACAATAGGTAATATTTGAATATCATTACCATTACGAATAATGAATTTCTTGTCATCAATGTACGTAACTAAACAAATGTACAACTTCGTTACCTACTAAAACCTTTCGTTCAGTAATCACTGTCAGTTTCTCTTGCTAGCACCATCTGTCTGTTTTCTTGAAATCACTGTTTGAACAAACGCTCTATATGTTAAATCGACCATGTGACGGACTGCAAAAATTATTTATTTATTTGTTTAATTAGCTCGTCGAGGACCAATCAAGGTCACGCATGATAAAGATAAAATATCGTTTACGAAAAACACACTCACACATATATGTACATAAAATACACCACGTACACTTTCGTTTGCCATATGCCATGCTATGATTTCTCTTTTTATACTTTTCCTTTAGCGCGAAAAATATCGACGATCATCAATTTGTTTATGTAAGCCTAATAAAAGAAAAAAAAACGCGTAAATTTTGAAAAGACAAAAACAAAGACTTCGTTCGCCAGGTGTCTTTTTTTGCAGTAATAAAATTGTAGAAGTTACGTATATAGGACAGAGTGGGAGATACGTTAGAACCAGAATAGTGTAACATCTAAAATTCTTTTCCTTTCTTTGTTTGGCTGTGTGTCATTTGGAGATGATACACGTACAATAGATAGATAATGGAGTAGTTGGATACGAGGTGAATGAAGTAGAGCGTCAACTGGTATTATGAATATTGTAGTGACCCAAATTTAGCAATTAGCAATAACAATACATAGAAATAGCCGGCTAGAACCGCAGCAAGTAATTATTCCAATTTATTAGTCATATTTGTTATCAGAAATTGGAGTAAATAGGTTTTTGAAAGTAATTTTTACGACCACTTGTGCAGTGACTTGGATTATTCTCATTATTATTTTACTTGTACCAAAGAAAGTTTTGAAAACAGGATCGCTTGGTCACGTTCTTCATCTAAAGTTGCTACCACACCTCTTCTATCGTTTGTTAATTAGTTTATTCGGTAAAAATATCGTTTACAACTTTTTAGATACCTACCGCTAGTGAAAAAGAAATTTCTGTCGAATGGTCGTCTATCTCATCAGACTCAAATCCATTAAGATTTCCACTCGTTTGTATGTTTCTGAAGCGACGACCTGAATTCTTTTAGTCGTCAAGTGTAAAAATCTTGGAGCATCGCGTAATACGTGTGCAATTAATTTGCATTATTTACATTTTTTCTACCCAATTACATCTAAGCCTGTATTCTTTTTCAGTCTTGATTTACGCACACGATTCCGTTGGCGTTGCGTGAACTGACGTAAGCTTTTGTTTCGACACAAGAAAAGAAAAGAACTTGCAGCACGCCTGCATAATAGTTGGTCATTTTAAACGGTTTTATTTCAGAACGGGCTTGCACAAGTGTTAATTTATGAGATATATATATATAACGTCAAATGTATGCAATTTGTTTATTGAATAGTCTAGATTTGTTATTGGTTCGTCTGAGGACGCTGCGTGACACGACAGAGGGATGGGGGTAAATTTATAGTGCATTCTCTACTAAGGGAATGTACTCATACTACGTGAGCCGTTCGGGATGGGGTGGGGGGTCATCAAAAATAACACGCATGGTCACAAAGGCAGGGGGGCGCTTACGTTTTCGACAAGTAAAGTCAATATTGTGAAGGAAAATCTTTTGTTTTTTCCAGCTATATTCAAAACTTTCTGTTTGCATAAAATGACTTGAAACAATATTTATGAATTACTATGTGAAAAGTAGAAGAGAAGGAGGGTCCTTATAGATACTACGGATGGTCACCAAAAGGGGAAGGGAGGTAAAAAATTGGTCACATAGTATGGATACAGGAATGTAACATTTATAAAAAAAAATTATTTACTCTTAAAACTTTGGTACAACATTTCTTGTTCAAACCATTTACTTTACCGAGTAAAATTACTGTGGCACTACGTAATAATCTTTATAATTGTTTTCGTTATTGCATAAAATAATAACAACGATTCGGTTTCAGTAAGGCGTTGGGCAATAGAACAATTATCACAAATAAAGTCGTTTTATGGTATTTAACTTCCTGTAATAGTCTATTATTTCATGGGAAAGCGCCGATCGAATGTGGATGCTTCCAACAGTTAATGTTATACAATTAGAAAATTTACCACGGAAGTAAAACATATC